AGTCTCTAGTTGCTAGACTGATTGCTGTAACAAATGCATCACTTAGATTAGAAATTTGAGAAATGCGAAGACAAATTGAAGACTTAAAGAAATCAGCAACGATAACAGATTACACACCAAAAGTGATTAATTTTGAAATTCACTGCGACGAATCATTAGAAGTAATAAAATCATTATCAGAATTTTCTGGCAAACAACAAATATGTTAGCTGGAGAGAATCAGCTAATAATGGTTTTTTGATGCCTTGCCACTAATGAGGAATAAAGTTACACATGGTACTAATGATATATTATCTAACCACGGTACGGTACTTAATTTTGATGCCATTTTGGCAGGACTTGATTTCACTGACAAGCGATCAGCTCATATTATTGAGCAAATTCGTATTGTGCGTCATGGCAATTATTTAATTATAAAGTATAATAATAAGAATAATGAGAAATTAACCTTGCTGATTAATAAAACAATAATGACTTACTAATCGGATAGTGCGGTAACGCAAAAAGGGCGGGATGCTTTGCGTGTATATATAACAGGTCTAAATGGAAATTTAACATACATATTATTTTAATTATCGCCAAATCATTTATAAAATGCTTTGGCAAAAGCACCGAAATTGCAATCAAATAATATATGAGCAACTCTCGCATTACAATTCGGGAAAAATCTGATTCATTTAACTTTTACCAATAATAATAATTCAATAACAGGAATTTTAATGTCTATTTACGGTTTCCACAAGCCCAACTTCAAAGAGGCTAAATTCAAAGGATAGTTCAGCATAATATTTAACCACGTCCTACACCAATGGACGTCGATTCAAGCATCCACACACGAAACCGAATACAGCAAAAACCAGAAACTTTAGCCAAAACAATAATACAAGTTAATAAAAAAAAGCACATGGCAGTATACAGCAGAATGTGAAGCATCCGCTAAATACACAATGCGTTAACAACTTTAAGGAAAGTATTTTTTAGACCAAAGTTAACTCTGCCATATATTAGGTAAAGTAAAAAGTTCGTTCGGTTTTTATCTAAGAGATGGCGTTATTGTCCATAGTACTAGTGTTACGTGTCGCCTCATGTCATACTCTACGGCGCTGAAAACGTTTATTCGCGGTAAAAGTTTGTCTTTGACAGTTTTTCGATTGATTGACTCAGTACGTTGTGAGCGCTCGTCAAATATGGACACCAGTAAAGAGAAAATTCGCTATATTTTACAATTTTCCTTCGATCAAGGCGAAAAAGCAGCCAAAGCGACTGAAAAATTTAATTTAGTTTATGGGCCCGATACTGTAAACGAACGTGTAGTACAAAAGTGGTTTGCTAGGTTCCGTTCCGGTTATTTCGATGTCAAAGATGCACCACGCGTCGGGAGGCCTGTCGTCGAAAATTGCTATAAAATCATGAAAATAGTGGACAGACCGTCACGTGAGCACTTATTTAATTGCTGAGGAACTAAAGATAAGCTAGAAACCCGTTTGGAACCATTTGCATAACCTTGGATTCAAAAAAAAAACTCGATGTTTGGGTGCCACACGAACTAACGCAAAAAAACATGATGTACCGAGTTTCCATCTGCAAATCGCTGCTGAATCGCAACAAAATCGACCCGTTTTTGAAGCGGATTGTGACTGGCGATGAAAAATAGGTCACTTATGACAACGTCGAGCGCAAACGGTCGTGGTCAAAGCTCGGGGAAGCGGCCCAGACAGTAGCCAAGACCGGATTGACGGCCAGGAAGGTTTTGCTGTGTGTTTGGTGGGATTGGCAAGGAATCATCTACTACGAGCTGCTCCCTTATGGCCAAACGCTCAATTCGGCCCTCTACTGTCAACAACTGGACCGCTTGAAGGCAGCACTCATCCAGAAGAGGCCATCCTTGATCAACAGAGGCCGAATTGTGTTCCATCAGGACAACGCCAGGCCACACTCGTCTTTGGTGACTCGCCAGAAGCTCCGGGAGCTCGGATGGGAGGTCCTAATGCACCCACCTTATAGTCCGGACCTGGCACCAAGTGATTACCATCTTTTCCTGTCCATGGCGAACGCGTTTAAGGGTGAGAAGTTAGCCTCAAGAGAGGCCTGTGAAAATTGGGTCTCCGAGTTTTTTGCCAATAGGGACGCAGCCTTCTACGAGAGGGGTATCATGAAGTTGGCATCTCGTTGGCAACAAGTTTATGAACAAAACGGCATATATTTGACTTAAATCGGACGAATGCACACAAAGTTATCATCTTTTGAAAAATTAATAAAAAACCGAACGAACTTTTTACTTTACCTAATATTTTTCTACATGACAGGGTTGATGGAAAATTTTGAAATACTTGTAGATACGGGAGCAACAAGTAGCTATATTAAATAAGGAATTTATAAAATTAAAAACGAATAAGTAATAATAATTTTCGACAATACGATATTATCAATATTATAACCCTTTTTGGTAAAAGCCAAATTTTCTATGAAATCGAAAATTTTAAAGCAGACTTATTTATCGGATACAAGGTTTTGAAGGATATTATTACAATGATCAACTTGAAAAAAAATAATTTTGATAATAAATAATGAAAGAGAAGAATATATTGAGTTAGAATGTGAATCTGAACAGGAGAGTAAAGAAGTTGAAAATATAATATTAAGGAAAACAAAACTACTTTAGGAGCAACGACTCTTAAAGCGCCAGATGAAGCTTTATACCAGTACAATAAAGATAATAATTACAAAAAATATATTATGGAACAAAAATGTTTTACAACGCCAGCCGATGATAATACCGGTAACATATATAGCATATATTGCCAACATAAAAGTTCTACAACACCAGTCGATTTTACTGACAAAAAATTAAAGGACAATTACTCAAATTATTTACTTTGGAGAAAGAGTTTTCTGAAGTACCAGCCGAGGTATATATCGGCATAACTGAAGAAGGAAATAACAAAAAAATAAGAAAATCTAAACTAAGGGTCATAACCACATTCCACACAGGAATATAAAAATTCCTCAAAACCAGAAGAGAGAAATATCGGCATAAATAAAAACATTAATATAATATATTTACCATTTTCCTTTAATAATGGACGGCATTTTTTGGAAATTTTTTGATATTTGTGTTAAAATTTATATAATTTTTATTTGTTTTCTAGATTCAAAGGGCGTTTATAAAGACGGTAAGTTCGTGAATTTTACGTTTTTTCTTAAGAATTGATTAAATGTAACTAATATTGAAAACAATAAAAGTTTAACAATCAAAATTAAAAATATATTAATAATGTAGTATATTGGGGCGACCACGAATACCAGAACAAATCAGAATGGACGATAAACTGCCAGAAGCAACTATACAGCTAATTCGTACTTGCCAGAATGTTCCAGTAGCGAACTTTTGTTAAAAATTTACTATTTAAGGGCTGCCGGATTGTGCAGCAGACACAGTTATAATTAGAGTGTTGCCGTGTAAAAAGCAATTAAGCTATAAGCAATAAGTTGTAAAATCGAATATCGAGCAATAAATGTTAAGTAGTTGGAATAAAGATAAGTTTACAGCCATTAAATTGGGACTTTAATTTAACAATCCAGTGATCGAACTCAAGAGTGAGTTACAGGTAGACGATTTATCGAGAAATCCGTTACAATATCGATATTATTTGTTCGTTGAACGAACCAGTAGATGGCGTTGTGAGCAAAAAGACGGAAAAAATATTTGCTAGCAGTAAGAGCCAAGAGCTGGCGCCTTCTCCTCTTTTTTCCTATAAATAAAAAAATCGCCCAATTGTCGGCGAGGGTAGAAATAAGATACATTCTTAATGCATCATAATGAAAATTATCATACAATCTGCGTACGATAATGATATCATATCGCACATCGTACGTAGGCATGAAATTATCGCATATGTACGATAATTATCGTACGGTTCCGATCACTGCTACCCTGCGAAACGGATATCTGTTAGCAAACGTGTTTACTACTTGTTATTGTTCACTCGCGTTTAAATTTAAAAAAATTGTTACTTTCCGACAATGCGGTGGTAACAATTTCCTACCACACTTGTAAAATTTCACTTCTTACACCACTAGATATTCAAAACTAACTTTTTGTTTTTAAATGGAAAACTTTGTTGTAAGAGAAACAACATTCATCATGCAAAATTTTTGAATGCGACAAAATGAGACGCAGATACATATCTTATATCATGAAAAAACATTTTTCCATACAACAAGAAATTTCTTTCATCATAAATATAAATTAAAAATTTAAGGAACATTAAGTTTTTATAAAATTAACCGAAGATTTTACCAGCAATCTTATAATAAATAAATATATTTATGAATTATTTGGTAAAAAATTCTGAAACCACAAATAGTGAAATTAAGGGTCCGATATCCATATCCCTTCACCAGATGCGTAAAGAAAAACTATATACGTATACGTAATATACTAAGGACCGTTTACTCAATGTCTGGTTAAGCGTTTAACAGAACTTTGTCGGGCAACATGTAGAAAAATGGGTTTCTCAATATCTGCCATTTATGGTAAGTTCTGGTAAACTTTACTGATACGAGTCTTGGTTAGTTTCTAACCAGAACATACATAAAATGACAGTTGTCAGCTGTAAAATCTATAAGAAAAAACAGCTTCATAGACGGCGTTTATACGAGGACTCGGTCTCTTTGTCTCTATCCTCGCCTACGAAACCGGTTTGGGCGGCAAAAAGAGTCCTCGTCTGACATGCACATACATAGCTCATGACTTTGACAAAGTTTTGCGTGTTCACAATGTATGCTTTGTGAAGTGTTTTCCCCACGCATTCACAGTAAGCAAATTATCTGTAGGTAAGCTAACCACAACGGTTCTGTCAGTTAAAGCTATCATACAGGTAAGCTACTAGCGTTTAAGGATATTATTAACCAGATATTGAGAAAACTGCTCAAAGAAGAACATAATAATAGGGGAGAGAAACAAACTACAACCTAGGTATAAAATAACAGAAAGTTAGGAAAATTTTGGAAATAAAATAATCAGTCTTATTGTAAACATGGGAAAAATCTCTCATATTCGAAAATTTCATAAAATTGTTAGTTGGGAAAAACTATCAATAAAGTGTGAGCATACTGTAATAACTAAGTATTTATTTGATTTTAAAAACTTCTTTATATGATCTAAGGCCTATTAACAATATACAGCTGACTTTTTTGGTCAACAGTAAGCCGAAAATCTGATATAGGGAAAGTTTTAAAAAATAAAATTACTAGAAAGTACACGTATTTTGAATGAAGTTACATAATTCTTTCAATAGCAAGAAGCCACCATCGAAATCGATTTCAGAATGAAAAAAGGTGACCATCGAGTTTCAAGTTGCTACCCAATTTCGGGACATTCACGAAATTTTTTTTTTAATCCATTATTCATTTATAATTATTTTAAAACAATAATAGCAGTAGAAAAAGGAGATTTATATAGCCGTATACGTTATGAGAAATCAGCCTACAAGAAACATATTCAGAATTATTATTAATTGAAAATTTCTGCAGAGAACGTATATCATCGAGAATGTTTACCGTGCGGCCATTATCAAAATATTTCACTTTTCGAAGGGGAACTGAAAACGATGAGCGTGTTTCACCACGGAAAGTTATTAGCGTTTTTCATTACAATTATATGAGAAAAAATGCTAATGCCAATGTTAAGAATATACGCTCACAGATTCGTTTGTTTACAATGCGCAAACGACTGCATATAATTTATAGATAATCTGTATATATTTGATATCACAGCACATAAGTATATACACATACGTAAGTTCAAATTGACCTATGGCAGGCACCTTGCCGTGGTGCAGGGACTTGAAGTCGCGAGGCATTCTCGGCATCTCCCAACCGGGGTGAGGAGTGTTGACTAGCGCCTTTTACACGGGTTAGCCGAAGCCGCATACATACATTTGGTGGTCGCTGAACGGATCCTTCCCAACACCGCGCCGCATTGGGAAGAAACGGTGGCCGGACATTGTGTTCCTCTGAACAAACGCTGACCCGACGACTCGCCTTGTCGAGCCTAAGGTAGTATGTACAAGTGGAAACAACAACAACCAACGGATCAAGGCAACAACAACAGCGAACGGACACGGACAAAGATGATAACACCAGCAACAGCGCAGGAAAGGGTGACTCAGGGACTTACCGAAAGTTCAGCTTCCCGGATTCCCTTTAATTAGAAGAGCGAGCGCTATTCGGGGAGCATGCAAGAGACGATGACGACGACATGCCCTCGTGCAGCGGCGCTCAGCAGGCGAGATTGTCTGCGGCCGGTGCTGATAAAGCGAACCCCATCGAGGCTCCCTCGAGCAGGATCAACTGCTCGGCTGCCTCAAAACTACCCGGCGAAGATGCTGGGGTCGGAGGAGTTCACCGTGCTCCAAGACCTACTCATGGAGGAGGTATTCAGAGGGTCAGGATACAAGGCCTCCTTCCATGGGGTATATTTCAAGGGAGGAATGCTGCAGGTTGACTGCAAGGACGAAAAGTCAGCAAACTGGATGAGGGAGATCGCTCCCAAGCTGGCAGGCTGAAATGGCCCCGTCCTCTGTACAAAGATGAGAGGCGATATAACTATAGGTTCAGCTCGGTGGTCATGAGGCCATACAAGCCAAAGACGACCACCGAAACCAAAACGGGGGAGAAGATGCTGGCAGATGAGGTTGCGACTCAGGCGCCAACTGCTGAGACCACGGTGAAGATCTCCACTGAGAAGGCTAGCAAACAAGGGTGGGTGCAACCCACCACGCAAGAGCTCCTCGAGGGACTCTAGGACCTAGCGGGTGGCAACGCGGTGGACGGCGAAGATGAGGACCAGTCCCTCATGGAACCGATCCTGTAGTGGGTCCACACACGGAAGTTGACCAGGTGAACCTGAACCACGCGGCGTCGACCTCGGCTGTCATCGCGAGCAGGTTCACAGCGGATAGTCTGGGCATACTACTGATCCAGAAGCACTGGATATATAAAGCAGAGGTCAGAGGCCTCAAATGGGAGTTAAGGTAATCTGGGACCTCTCTAGTGAGAGACCTCGAACCTGTATAGTAGTCAGGAACGATATTGATTTCTTTTGCATTTCAGAGTTTCTAACACAAGACCTGGTCCCTGTACAGGCTAAAAACAATGAAGCAGCGGACTTTGTTCTGGCAGCGGCCTACTTTTCGAGGGACGCACTAGCAGCACCCCCAGAGGCTGTCAGTAACCTGGTGGAATACTGCAGAAGGAATAACCTGCCCCTCGTCCTAGGATGCGATGCCAACGCCCATTATACGGAATGGGGCAGCACGGACTGCAATACACGGGGTGAGTCTCTCCTTGAATTTATAGTTAGTAGGAATTTAAGTATTGTAAGCGTAGGGTGCGAACCCACATTCGTAACTAGTGTAAGAAGCGATGTCAAGCACCTTGGTAACGAACTTACGACGGGGCTGATCGGGCAATGGAGGGTGTCATCGGAACCCTCCATGTCAGATCTTCGTATCATAAGATTCGCACTAGGGTTAGAAGTCAGACAACGATACGCTTGAAATAAATGTAAATGGGAGGGGCTGCTGGGCGGCAGTGCCACTGCTTCTGGACTGGAGAGCAGATTGTCTGCGCTAAACTAGTCCATTATGGAGGCATATAACGACAGCTGCCCCCTAAAGACGACCAGCTGAGGCTGTTCCTGGTGGTCAAGTAGGCTCTCAGAACTACGAAAAACGGTATGCAAGCTATTTAACAAGGCCAAGCGTACCGGAAACTGGGACAACTACAAGTGCAGCCTAACTGCATACAACAAGGAGATTAGGTCAGCAAAATAGAAGAGCTTCAGAAAGTTCTGTGAAACGTCTCCTCGACGCCAGAAGCTGCAAGGCTGCATAAGGGCTGGCCAGAGGCAAGACGGACACAGTACTAGCAATAAAAATATCGAATGGAAGCTAAACGTCCAGCGCAGAGGAAAGAGCCTCGCCTAGCGCACTTCCCGCAGGTAATTCGAGAGGACCAGATTCGACCTATGGTCGAAGGAAACCATCACGCTTAGATTTGACAGTCTTAAAACAGCTCTTCAATGCAGACTCCATCAAGTGGGCTGTGGCCTTCTTCGAAAAATATAAGTCTCCGGATATGGACGGCATCCTTCCAGCATTTCTGCAACAGAGGGAGCAGAGCCTACTGATCCACCTTTTTCGGCAGCCTAGCGCTGGCATATATCCCGGACCCTTTGCGCATTGCAAGGTTGATCTTCATACCCAAGGTAGGAAGGAAAGACTACACGTTGGCAAAATTCTTCAGGCCAATCAGTCTAACTTCCTTCCTACTTAAGAGTATGGAAAAGATCATTGATCACGAAATAAGATCTGAGGTACTGAGGACTGCACCGCTACACGCAGAGCAAGCAGGTCAGCCAATACTGCTTTGTATCAGCTTACCTCAGAGATCCAAAGTTCGTTAGAGGGGGGTGATGTGTTGTTATGCGCCTTCCTAGACATCGAAGGTGCTTTTGACAATTCTTCTCAAAAAAGCGTGTCAAGAGCACTAGATTAAAGGAATGTGACAGCACCGGTACGCAGATGGATAGAAGCCATACTGCGCACCAGGATAGCTGAAACCACAGTAAGCGATACCAGAATTCGTCCTGGTACAACAAGGGGCTCTCCACAGGGTGGAGTGCTATAACCCCTACCTTGAAGCCTAGTTGTGGACGATCTCCTTGAGTTGCAATGGAATACGCTGTCAGGGATATGCGGATGATATTGTTATCTTAGCCAGAGGTGAGTTCGTAAACACTCTCTGCGATATTGTACTAAGGGGACGGGGCTGGCAAAGAGGTGGTGTAGTGGGATTGGCTTAACATCAACCCCTCCAAAACTACAATCATTCCGTTTGCCAGGCGCAGGTTACTGCCAGTCCTCGGAAACCTATCCCTCGGCGGCAGGAAGCTGCAGATGGGTAACACGGTCAAGTACCTAGGCATCACGCTGGATTCCACTCTACGGTGGAAGCAGCATGTGGACCTGACCTTAGCCAAAGCTACGAAAGCGCTCATGGTGTACAATCGATTTGTTGGGAAATCATAGGGCTGCAACCCAAGGATTATCAAATGGTTGTGCATCGTGATTAAGAGACCGATCATAACATGTGGAGCGGTGGCTTGGGTTTCCAAAGCATCCCAGACTTCGGTAGGACTTCAACTATCAAAGCTGCAACGACTTGCCTGCATCTGCACGTTGGCGATGCGTACGTGTCTGACTGCAGCACTGGAAGTAATGCTGTAACTCACCTCTTTACATATAGTGATCGAACAGACGGCCAAACAGTCCCTGCTTCAAATGACAGCAGAAGGATTGGGCAAAGGGAAGGTAATCTCGTCCCAACAGATGAGGGTCCTAAGCGACGATATGCCACTAGCCCTTCTCCCAAGGGACAGCCTTACTATAGCAGTAAGCTTCACTAGGAAGTTCAAGGTTACCCTTGGCAGTAAGGCGAAATGGTATCAAGTGGCACACCGACGGCTCGAAAGCGGCGAAGGGAATTGGTGCAGGGGTCGCAGGACCCAGCACCAAGCTCCCCATTCCCATAAGAAGTTTTCTTAGCATTTTTCAGACGGAAGTATATGCTATAAGTCGGTGTGTAGAGATAAACCTCCAACGCAACTATCGCAATAAAAGTTTTGCTATACTCAGCGATAGTCAGGCGGCTCTAAAAGCGATCGCCGCTATTGAGGTCAAATCGCTATTAGTGCAGGAGTACATAGAATGGTTGTACAGCCTAGCAAACCACAATAGAGTGCACCTCATTTGGGTGCCTGCTCACAGGGGTAAAGCCGGAAATGAACTGGCTGATGAGTTGGACCGCTCTGCAGCCTCTACAAAAATGGTAGGACCAAAACCATGGATAGCGGTTGGTCCACACACCATTAAGGAGCTGCTCCGTAAAGTGGAAAGAGTGGACAGGGAGAGACATTGGCAACATCTCCAAGGCATGCGCCATGCCAGGTTGCTATCTATATAAATCTCCCGAGAAATAGACTCCGGCTACTTGCTGCGCCTTACGCTGGCCATTGCAGGCTCAATAAACATCTATTCATCATAGGCTTAGTCTCTTCTGCAAACTGCCGGTTCTGTGACATGGAGCCGGAAACCCCAGAACATCTGCTAGTGGACTGCACAGCAGTCTGCAGACGCATAATTAATACCCTGCAATCCAGGTTTTCCAACATGGATCGCATCGCTTCACTAGCACCTAGCAGTATATTAGAGTTCATCTAGTATATTCTGGGGCTAAACGAGTCGTTGTGACTTAGGGGAGGACACAATAGACCATAGGTCGCGGTGGATACCTCTATTCATATCTATCTATCTATATATTAAGGTAAGGATTGTATTATTAAATAAATATTTAATTAATATACATAGGTTTTATTAATAATATATTTATTTACGTTTGTCATTAAAATTTTTGATAACATCTGAAAAAAACAGGTTGTCGCACATATGCTTATACACATATAAAAATGTGTGCATGTAAGCATATAATAGTGTGTTTACATTGGGACTCTTTTGTAACCCAAACGGTTTAGTGTTGGCGAGGGGACGACGAGGAAAGACGAAAAGACCATGGCACGCTTTCCTTTTCACTTTCAAGTTTTTTTAATGGTTGCAAGAGCGCTCGGTTTCAAAAAAATATATATCATATTTTCAGTAATTTTAATTCTGTTATCTATTTTTTGTACGTAATATGCAAATATGTCTGCATAGAATAATAGAAATATTTTGTAAAATTGCAAATAAGGAGAAAGTTAAGTTACTCAAAAATATTCAATTTAGATTTTTAATTACATATAGCGGTATTAAATGTAATAATATACCAGCCTACATAAAAGAATTCTAATAAAAATGGTAACTTTACTGTTTTATATTTCAATAAAATATGAAGATGCTGTCATATTTATTTCTTTTAACCACAAAGAATTTAGTTCGAATATCATTTTATTTAAAACAAGAATTGTAATTAATTAATTAATGTTTTATAATAAATAGACAAATATATGGAGTAAAGATGTTATGAATTTTCGATACTTTGAGATTAGGAAATTCCTTTTATAAATTTGGCCTAGAAAATATAAGTAGCGGGTATTCAATACATTCTGGTGGATTAGGGAATTCCCGTCTTAAGTATTTCTTTGAAACTATTAGGAGTATACCTATAATGCATATTGTTCTACCACATTCATGGTAATTCCTTGCAAGCAATATGTGGGACCACAATCCCAACATACAAATAATATATATGCAACACACTCTAAGTGTCGAGTAGCCGAACCGCACAAACATTTGCGAAAATTTTATGAAAAGTAATGACAAAAAACTCGATTCGAGTTGCTGGACTCTTTTTGCACGTGTGAATGCACAGAGCGACACCAAAAGAGAATTTTCCGATAATCAGGGTAAAAGGGAAAGAACCATACCCATAATGTTTGTAAATTTGTCTACACACAACTTTGTATGTTAATAAGTACATTCATTGCTTCATGCGAAGTCTCCACTGACACGAACAACCAATGGCCGAAGCTCATGTTTTTTGCTTTCATGTCAAAGAGTCAATGTGTTGGACTTTTTTTGCTCATGTGAATGCACAGAGCGACACCAAAAGAAAATTTCCCGATTATGAGGGTCAAAAGAGTCCCAATGTAAATACTTTAATAAAACTAGGCATATTATTGAATATGACACACTTGAAAATTCAATGACTATTCTAAAAGAATTCTTACAACCAAATCTTTTAACTGCAATATATTGTACACCTAAAGACTTATATGAAATAAAGGATAAATTAAAAGGAAACATTTACTAACAAGTTTTTATTTACAAAAAATTTTCCCATTGATATACCAAACAAGGAAGACCAGGGAACAATAATAGAGCAAACACATAACAGAGCGCACAGGGGCTTTGACGAAAATATTAAACAAATCTCAACTTTTTACTATTAGCCAGAAATGCATAAAAAATTTAAAGAATACATTAGAAATCGTGAAATTTGTAATAAAAATAAATATGGTAGACATCCCATAAAGCCTATTGGAGAGGTCCCTATACCTAAAGAGGAGGGAATACAAATACACATAGAAAAATTTGTATGCACAATTATTAAAATTCATTACATGTATCGATAGTTATTCAAAGTTTTTGGTTAATAAACAAATTGAAGATAAGATTAATTTAGACGATAAAGTGTTAGAGATATACAAGGGTTCCCGAATGTAAAGAGAATAACATTGGATAATGAAGCAGGATTTACTACGGTAGAATTTAAATCCGTGATGCAGAGGCTTCAGATTGAAATTTATTTCTGCAACCCAAATCATAGCACCACAAATGGTCAGATAGAGAGAGATCAACAATAATTGAAATATCGCGCTGTATAAAACAAGAACATAAAATCATCAGCTTTTCGGAATCAATATATAGAGTCGCGCAAACTAGGATGCTAGAAAGACAAAATAAAAATAGATTAAACAAAACATATTTATGTGGAGAAAAGAAACAAGTAATAAAAGAAGATTTAGGGAATAAGGTTACAATTAACTACAGAAATAGAATAGTACATAATGATAATATTAAATCTTGAATATATATTTTCAGAAAATGATACCCTTAATCTTTTTAATATTAATTGTTCAAACAATGGCGGACATCGTGGACTATACAAGAGAGGATTATGTCTTATTAGAGGACCGAGACTTAGCTTTATATAATGAATATGGCGACATTTTTCACAATAATAATTTAACTTATTTTAGAGAACTTATAAATTCAGACAAAAGTTATAGTAATAAGAAATACAGATATAATAATTCACAAGGGAATAATTAAAATGAGGTAGTATTTAATTCTTTTCAAACTAATAATTCTTTTCAAACTTTTTAAAGAAAAACTTACACACTCACCACCTTTCGCTTTTAGTACAATTATAATTTTATTTATAAATGAAATTACGGGTTTTAATCACTCCCTTAATACTACAATCACTTGCGACCCAGCGCAGAGAAAAAAAAATGTATATAAATGCTTTTGATTATGTATAGAAATTCCACTTGATTGGATCAGAGCCGCTGATGTGACACGATTGCAGGTTTTCGACCGAGGACGGGAATCCACGGATGACGGTGTGTTCGCTGCGAGTTCAATACGAAGAAGGGGTCAGCCGATTCTAGTGTCCGTGGTTTTGTTGATGGTTGGTGGGGTGATCGCCCGGTGTATTGTGTAGCAGACGCTAAAGTTGTTGCAGCGTGTAGACGACGCTGCTCAGCCCAGTGGCATGGCGGGGTTGTGACCGAAGCTGACTGGCGCGTAATTGCTGCGGGTCGTGCTGATGCCTGCCTTGGGAGTCGCCTGACTACGCCGCGGCGGTGGGAGGCAGTTAGTCGACCATTGTCGCGCCTCGTGGTACGGTGAAGGAGTGTGTGATGTTCAATTCAGGCAGTGTCCATGTGCCTGGGCGATTTGCTGTCGTTGGACTGGTGGCATACCTTTAAATGTGTCGCAAAGTTGCAACCGGTGGGGGCGACGACATAGCGGGCATCGGAGGCGGTGCTGCTCCGCGGACAGCGATGTTGACGGGGGTAGTGGCCGCGTGCCACTACGAGGAGCGATTGAAGGGGCTGTGGTAGCTGTAGTTCGGGGTGCAGGATTTGCCCCAGGGCGTGGCACATTAACGGCCGAACGTATTGCTGGCGTTGGTGTTGGTGCATTTCCGTCCATAATGATCTATATGGGAAAAAAGTATTTAGATTATAAGTTTGTCGCATGATTGAGTTGGAAATTTGGGCCGCGTTAAGTGGCATAAATGGGTCGTTTGTTCGATCAACCTTTTACCGGATTTAGGTTTTTTTATTTTGATTTATTAATTTTAGCGGTTTTTGGTTCTTATCGGGTTATTATTTACGTTTGTTCGGTATTATCGGCTGTGGGTAAAAAGCTTTACGAGCGGTCTGGTTAATGTTCCGGTTTGCGTACGGAGATCAACTACTCGGATGTGACCGTCGGAACCATGGTGAAGGTTTTCTATACGGCCAAGCCGCCATTCGCTAGGGGGGAGACAATCATCGTGTACTAGCACGCAATCTCCAAGCTTTGGCTCCTTTTTCTGGAGCTTTCCAGCGGTACCTCTTGTGGAGGTCCTTTAAAAAATCTTTTTTTCATCGCCGGCTAAAATTGTGATGAACTCTTTCCGATCGGTTTAATGAGGATAGCGACTCCACGTCTGGCTCAGGTATGGCCAGAATGAGTGCTCCTTTGAGAAAATGCCCAGGAATGGGGTGGTAAAATCGGAGGGATCTTGCGAAAGGATTGTGATTGGCCGTGAATTGAGAACGGCTTCAATTCCGATTAATAAGGTCGTGAATTCGTCATAATTAAACTTGTAGTTTCCAGCTACTTTTTGAAGTGGATTTGAAGCTTTTACAACAGATTCCATAAACCACCCATATGAGGAGCGCTTGGGGATAAACTGCCAATTAATGCCTTGAGGTGCGTAATTCTGTACAATTTCAGGTGAGACTTGTTTGATAAAGTCCACAAACTGTTTCTCAGTGGCTCTTTTGGCTCCAATAACCGTTTTGCCGTTGTCACTCATTATTTTTGAAGGAAAACCACGCCGTCCGACGAAGCGAGCGAATGCCGCGAGAAAAGCCTCTGTCGTCAGATTTGTACATAGCTTAAGGTGAACAGCTTTTGTCGTAAACAAACAAAACTGCCACATGCCTTTCATTAAAGTGGGAGATCTCAACATTGAGCCTTTATCTGGAAAGGCCAGCAAAATCGACACCTGTTGTTGTGAAGGGCAGAGCAAAGTTGCAGCGTTCAGGTGGAAGGGCTGCCATTATCTGCATTCGCATTTTGTTGTACGTTGTGCAAACTTTGCACATGTAAAAGCACTTCTTATTTGAGGCTTAAGACGGGAATAAAACTTTGGCGGACTATTTGTTGCATGAGGCGGTGCTCGGAGTGTAGCATCAGTATGTGGACATAATGCAGATATAATGTGGCAAGCCGTGCTTTTTCTGGTATGATTATGGGGCGTCGTTCGTTGTATGTCAGGCTGGAGTTGACAGCCGACCATTCGCACGAAGCAAACCCAGAAATGGATTTAATACTAAAAGTGAGCTCTTTTATCGATTGCTTCGAATCTTTTAGCAATGATATTTCTCGGCTGAAGTATCGCGCTTGAGTGGATGCGATAAGAGCGCTTTTGCTTTTGTAAGTGTAGGTGCGTTAATGTATCGCATTGGGGGTATATTGGAGGTGTTCCGTTAACTTTAGTTTTGAGCTGCTCTACAAATTTGATCATGTAGGCAACTACTCTGAGGGCTCGGGGGAACGATGAGAATCGCTCAAGGATGTCAGTATCATCCGATGTTGCATGAAAAGAGTCGATTTTTTTCGACTTACTGGGGCAATTATATTGCGCATGGGCGCTTGTGGCCAAGAATCGGGAGATTCTGTTAACCAGCGGGGGCCATTCCCACCAGAGTGTGTTGGTGGCAAGATGCAGGGGTTTGCACCCTCTTGTACCTAGATCAGCAGGATTATCAGCACTGGCCACATGTCGCCAAGTGGCTGATCCTACTAGGTCAAGGATTTGAGACGTTCGATTGGAAATATACGTCTTCCATGCATGTGGTGGTTTTTCTAACCATGCTAATACGATTTCGGAATCGGACCATAGATATAATTTGTATTTTGCCATATTTAAATGCATTCGCACCATGGATACTAGTTTGGCTAGTAGTAGCGCTCCACACAGTTTAAGTCGAGGCAGATTTATTGTTTTTAACGGAGCTACTTTTGCTTTTGCTGCTAGCAAGTGGCTTGTGGTCGCAAAGTCGCTTTGTGTGCGAACATATATAGTTGCGCAATATGCCTTTTCAGAAGCGTCACAGAAGCCGTGTAGTTCGACTTTATGCTCTGGGGCATAGTTTAACCATCGTGGGATTTGTATCTGTGAGATATCGTTTAGATTGTTTGCAAACTGGGACCACTTTTCTAAACGAAGTTGTTTTACTTGTTCGTCCCAGTCGGTTCCATCTAGCCATAATTCTTGTATTAGAATTTTGGCTTGTATCATAACTGGCGAAAGCCATCCTGCGGGGTCGAAAAGTTTCGCCACAGAGAATAGAATTTGTCGCTTCGTTATGGCGGATAATGCAGATATTGAATCTGTAGTGTATGAAAACTGGTCAAATATCGCATTCCATTGGATCCCCAGAGTTTTTGTTGTACTTTCCTCTTCGAACTTAAGGAAATTAGTATCCAACAGATTTTCTTTAGGTATGTCCTTTAAGATATTAGGGTGGTTCGCCGTTATCTTTTTTAACGGAAACCCTGCGGTTTTGAGGGCTTGTGTCACTTGTGCTAGTGACTCGTATGCTTGTGAAAGACTGTGACTACCAGACAGGATATCGTCTAGAGGAAATTCTGACTTGGTGTTTTCTGCCAATTCGTGCAGTGTTCGAATGGCTAAATATGGAGCACAGTTGACGCCAAAGGTAACTGTTTTCAATTTATAGTCGCGGAGTGGACTATTGGGAGATTTTCGGAAAATAATTCGCTGAAAATCTTGATCGTCTTTATGTACGACTATTTTTCTCTACATTTTTTCGACGTCTCCGTTAAATACGTATTTGAATATACGCCAATTTAAAATGAGTAGCATTAAATCTAGTTGGAGCGTGGGTCCCGTAAATAGAATATCATTTAGGGAATTCCCCGAGCTAGTAGATCATGATGCATTAAAGACAACTCTTACTTTAGTTGTTTTTTTGTCTGGCTTTACTACTGCGTGATGAGGCAAGTAAAATGAGTAATATTTGCCATTTATGATTTTTTCGCATGGACTTACTTCCTCCATGTGATCTAAATGGAGGTATTCTTCTAACACGCCATCGTATTCTGGCTTAAGCTCACCTTTTTATACTCTCGCAACCTGTTGCTACAGAGTATAATAGTTTTGTTCACCTAACGGTTGTTTGTATCACCTAAAACTAATCGAGTTAGATATAGGGTTATGTATATATAACTGAACAGGATGAAGAGACGAGTTGAAATCCGGGTGACTGTCTGTCCGTCCGTCCGTGCAAGCTCTAATTTGAGTAAAAATTGAGATATCTTTATGAAACTTGGTAGACATGTTTCTTGGTAACGTGAGACGGTTGGTACTTGCAGATGGGCGTAATCGGACACTGCCACGCCCACAAACGCCATTAAATCATAAACAAATACTTGCATAACTAAGTCGGCAATAGATACAAGACTGTTATTTGGTACACAGGATCACATTAGGAGGGCATCTGGCAGTTAAATTTTTAGTGGGCGTGGTCCCGCCGCTAATAGGTTTAATGTGCATATCTACTAAATTGCAATGCTATATAACAAAATTCACTGGACAGCAAATGTTTTTAGAACTTCTACCTACAGTGTGAAAATAGTTGAAATCGTGTGGACCTCCGTCCACTCCCATATAACGGTACTGTTAAAACTACTAAAAGCG